TTGCACTTGCCAGGCAGGCACTTGTGCCACTGAGCTGTATTTTTGGCAGGACAGACAAATTAATGTTATAATTTTTTCTATGTATCACAGGAGAGCTGTTCAACATGTCTTCAATAGATTCTAAAACACTTTTATTTAATCCTTGCTTTGTGCCAGCGCCAGGCCTATCATTTAGATATGTTAATCCCTCAAAATACCATTGTATTAGCACTGACATTTTTATTATGCTATCTAAGAACTATTTTTTTCTTTTTCTTTTTTTTAGTTTTGTTTTAAAATTTTATTTATTCATTTATTTATGTGTGTGTGTGTGTGTGTGTGTGTGTGTGCGTGTGTGTGTGGCCAGCTCAGCCCACCAGGGGGTGGGGCTGGCTGGCATGTGGTGCTGGGGGATTGAACTGTGGTCCCTGTACTTTGCTAAGCTTGTTCTAAGTAGGTGGTTTAGACCACTGAGCCATCTCACCAGCCCTACAAGAACTATTGATTGGATTAGTTAAGAAATTTCTCAAGGTCCCATGGCTAATAGTTGGATTTCAAACCTAGGTCATTCTGATTTAAAAGCCCATTCATATCATAAAGCTTCACATTGCTAGTTTGGCAAGTATTTTCTTTTCTTTCTTTTTTTTTTGCTCCAAATGCCTTCAAGGCATGACTGGCTGTCTTGTGTTGTGGGGATCGAACCACAGCAACCTGAGCCTGACTGCTTTGTTGAAGCAGCCACTTAAAGAACTGAGCTAAGGGGCAGGCCCCCTTGGCAAGTATTTTCCATGTCATACATATTTCTAATTTGAATCCTTGGGAGACAACTAAAACAATTTAGTTGAAGTATATTAATTGTAATCAAATGGTCCAGGGCACTGAACTAGGACTCAAGAAATTCACACGAACTGCAGCAACTCGCACTGTTTCCTGTCAGGATGGGCTAAGCAGCGCTGCAGTAACAAGCACGTCCCAATTCTCAGTGCCTTCACACAATCAAAACTTCTTTCTCCCTCATGGCCAACTCATGAGATCAGGCCACCGGGGGGCTGCATTTGTCTTAGTCCTGTAGTGTCCTAGGCTCGGTGGTTTCCTACCAACATCATGTCCATGATTGCTGAGGCTGGAGGGGTGAGTCTCACACCCTGGCTCTTATAGTGTCTTTCCAAAAGGGATGCATTTCATTTCTATTCACATTTCTTTGGCCAAAGCAAGTCTTAGAGCCATACTGAAGAGAACTGAGGAAGTTGTACCCTACCATGTGTCTGGAAGAAAACGAGAAAGAGCTGGTGACTAACAGAAATCCTCCTCCCCACCTACAGGCAACCATGTCTCTGTTATTCTGTCAGTATAGTTTTGTCTTTCCCAAAATGACGTAAATGGAATCACACAACATGTAGTCTTTTATGTCTAGCTTTGTCACCTGGCACACTTTTGAAACATTCATGTGGTTGCCTGTTGCAGTTGTTTGGTCCCTTTACATTGGTAGGTGGTATTCCACTGCACAGTTGTTCCACAATTCTGCAGGGGAAGAGCTATGGAATAATTTTTTTAAGTGCTGAGGGTAAAACCGGGGCCTCAACCATGCTAAACAAATGCTGTAGCACTGAGTTACATTTCCAGCCCTTTTAGAATTTAAGTTTTGAGACAAAGTCTCAGTAAGTTGCGCTGGCTGGCCTCCACTTCCAATCCTCCTGCTCAGCCTCCTGTACACCTGGGATTCCAGGAATGCACCACAATGCCCAGATGTCCAGTGTATCTTTAAAATACTTTCTTCCCAAATGCCTACTTGAGCACCGACATGAGAATGTTTTGCTCAGTGTTCCAGTTTAGTTACATGTCACAGCTATGTATTTATTTACCATTAGCAGGTCACTAACTTTTGGGACCTGCAGCTACTGGAGGGACTAGACTTCCAGGATCTTTAATCTTTTTTTTTTTTTTGGCAGAACTGGGGATTGAACTCAGGCCCTTATGCTTGCCAGGGAAATGCTTATTCTACTGAGCCATCACCCCAGCCCATCTTTAATCTTAATATATTTAGCTTGCCAGATATATCCACTGATGTGTTTACCTATTTTTTTTTTAAGTGAATGCCTGACAGATATATGCTACCCTGAGCATAAGATGGGTCAAAGGACAGTACTGATTCCTGTCCCCAGAGTTGGGATTCTAAGTCCATGATAGCAAACATGTCAGAGAAGTGAAAGGGAAATGGCAAGAACACATTGACAACAGGTCTAAGGTCTCTGGGGGCAGTCAGTAGTGACTTCGCATTGAAATGACACGTCAGTTCTTCACCCGTCCTTGTGGTGACAGGAAAACTGGTTAAAGAGAGTAGTGTGTGTTGTGTCTTCATAGTTTACAAGGTGTTTTGTTATTTTCTCTTATAACCCTCACAGCTCTGTGAGACAACAGCCATTCTAATATTCCCACTTTCCTGATTCCTGACTCTGGGGTTCAGAAAGTAGGACAGAACTTTAAGACTTGATATCATAATTTGGGAAGAATAGCAGGAAAATCCTGGAGAATGTCTGTTCCCAAATGACAGTGCTGGGAGCTTTCATGAGGTCAATAAAAGCCAGCATCAATATTTGCTCCCAGCACCACCCTTTATCTTTGTGACCTGATGTTCCTACTCAGGGCGTCATGATGTTGTGATCCAATTCTGAAACTCAAAGGCTGCTGTGGCCACCCCACACCCCATACTGGAGGACTCTGACTCAGATGAGCTCTGTACTATGTGATCTTGTTTTACTTCCCAAGTAACTGGAAAATGGGTCACTGTGCATTCCTGAAGTCCTTTAAAAACACCTTTGACATCTTTATTTGCTGGCAAATGCAATCCTGAGTAAAGGCTCAGCTGTACCAGAGGCACAAGTAGGATAAGCGCCCCAGTCAGTTTATTGAGTACAGCGGAAAGACCTCTTGATTTTAGGTTCAAAAAAGTACCAGGATACAGCATCACCCACTGTAGCCAAAACACAGAAATAACCCAAGTGTCTATAGACAGAGGAATGGATAAGGAAACTATGGTACCTACAAAGACAATGGACATAATTTATCATTTGAAATGGTGACACTGCCCTTTGAGACAACATGGAATTTGGGACTCGATGTTAAGTAGAATCAAGAAGCCAGACACAGAAGGACAAATACTGCATGACCTCATCGTATGTGCTTACTAGTGTGCATACATATTCATTGCTATCATGAAATGCCCAACACTTACAGAGTTTATGTCGCTTACAGTTCTGGAGCTCAAATGTACAGTGTCAGCTTTGGCTCAGCTTTGGGGAGGGGCTTCTGGACTGTGTCACTTTTCGGTGGGCCACATGGTGAGAGAGCTCCTGTGTGAATGAGAGACCCCGTTACAAAGAGGAAGGCAGAGAGCCTGGGGTCTCATCATTCCTTCTGAAGGGGCATCCTCAAGTGAACTAAAAAACTCCCACCAGGTCCCACCCACAAAACGTCCCATGACCTCCCAACAAAGCCACGGTGAGGACCAACTGTCCAACACAGGAACCTTCTGAGGATGAAAATAAAAAGAGGACAGCAAGAGCAAGGCAATGGAGAAAGTGAGTTAAAGGAAACAAACACAGGGGTGTGGGGTCCATAAGTCTAGGAATCTAAGGGTGCAGAGTGAGCATTACGGATAACAATACTGTACTGGATACTGAAAATCCACTAAGTGAAATTTCAAGTGCTTCTACTACACACAGTACCTAGGTGAGATGAGTCACATCAATTTGCTTAAGGATAGTAATCATTTTACTATGTATATCAAAACATGCACACCTTAAATATACACAATTTAAAAAATAAAGTAATTGGAGAAGTGGAAATGATGGGATGTTTATAATGTCTGCCTGAGCTGAGCAGGAACAAGGTGTCAGCACTTATCAGGGATGCCTGTAGTGAGCTCCACTCTTGTGTGAGGTGTTAGTGCACTCAACAGCCATAAAGACAGCAAGAGACAAAATGGTACCGCAGCAGGGATCTAATATGATCAGTTGTTCACGAGATGCAAAAGGCCATGAGGCAGCCAGAACCTTGGCCTTTACTGAGGAGAGGATTATCAGACTCAGTGGGCATCAGTGTCTTATGCTGAGAAGGATCTTGCCCTGGAGTGTCTTTATTTTTAGTGGTCTTAGTCTTAGTGGGTGGGCAAGGATGGCCTAAAGGGATAATGGGCAATCTCAAAGGGGTGATACCCAATGGAAGCCTCCGTTCATCGCTTAGGGAAGTGTGTCAAACTAGCTATTGTTACATTGCAGTCCCCAACAAGCCCTGGGTCCTGTTTCCCTCTCAGGTGGGGACTGTTAGTGGACAGGCTGGGAAGGCTGAGGAGGAACAGCTGTTCTGAAGAGCCTGCTGCTGCTCACCACTGCCAGTTAGGAACGTTGGATGGGCATGGCCCTGGTCTTATCCGCCAACTCACCTGTATGCCCCCATCTGCTCTGACTGGCTTCCTCTAGGGCCAGTATAAAGCAAAGACCCATAGGACATATTAATCATTGCAAACCATCTAAGGAAGCAATTAATTAATGAGCATTTCTCTAGCCAAGCTTGGGCACTGTAAGCATAAGGTCCATGGCTCGCTGCCCTATTAAAGTGCCACAGTTGCTCTCCAGCTGAGCAGTCATGCTTACTTTCCTTTCTCCTCCAAGACACAAGGAGCTGGCCTAGAGTAGTAATGGGAGACATTCAAGAAGACACTCAGCATCTGACTTGGTTCCTGATGCCCACCAATTCACGGAGAGGAAACAAAAGCAGGTGTTATATTAGAATTAGACCTTTTGTCCTTTAGGCCTGTCCCTCCCTCTGCCCATTCACCCATCCACCACGCACCTATCCATCAGCAGTGCCCTTGTTTACTTCTGGTCAATGAAGAGAGAAATAACTCACTCCCCACATTAGCCATGCAGGAGTTCATGGTACACTTGGATTAAGTGAGGCCCTTGAAAAAGAACTTGTTGGGCTCCTGTTTGGTTTGCTTGTTAGTAAGAGAAAACGCACAATGAAAATAATATTAATTTTATTGCATCATTTTACTGACTAGAACGCCAGATTTAGAGTGTATATAATTATAAAAATAACCAAATTCTTACAAATAATACTTTGCTGCTACAGTATTGAATAATTAGCAGAGGCTGGAATTATAATACAACCTTAAATAACATTCTCATAATGGATTTAACACAATCAATCAGGGACTGTGGTTTACATACAGAAATTCAGGACAATGTGAAAATTCAGAAAGTTCACATTCCAACTACATGTTACACTTAACCATACATCCAGCGATGCAGACATTAACAAGACTCACTGCAACTCATGATGAAATAATCATTTTCCTTTGAAACAGGCTTAGGAACCTTTGGATAAGGTTCCTGGACACACTGGTTCCTTCACACCTCCTCCCTACTGAAGAAGTCTGTACTAATGTACATCAAACACATCATAAAGATCATAATCCTAGAATCTAACAAAGGACTCCTTTGAAATAGCTCGTGGGACAGATCCGGTCTAGGATCTATCTCTTTAGACCTAAGGGTCCCCTTTGGTTTCATGGGCTTTTCTGTGAGCTGAAGTTTACATCAACAAGGAGTATAATGCTACCGAGATACTTTAGATTAAGAAATTGGCATTTGATACTGTAATGTGCCTGCTACTTTAACCAGTTTTCTTCTTTGGGGATTTGGAAAAGAAAAAAAAAAAAAAACAAAAACCCCCAAAAGCAAATTCTGCAAAACCATAATTCTGTTTCTAAAATGTACGTAAGAACCTTTGGAATGACATGGCCTATTCCTACCACCACAAAAGCTTTCAGACAAGAAAAGTATCTCTTATATTAAGGGCAGTTTTAAATAAAATACAAAATACTGAACTCTGTACTCTTTCCTCTTTCCAAAGAAGTGCTATCATCCAAATATATTTTAGAACTATGAATCAAATACCTAGCTGTGGGTGTGTCAGGCAAAGCCAAGGGTGACTCTCAACAGCACAGCACTATTTTTCTGGCAGTTCACTGTTCTGGGTTACCACCTGGGCACTCCACCATGGGGCAAGCAGCTGGCTTGGAGGCTCCAAAAGCATGTCACAAGAGGTGACGCTAATGTGCCCGCGCGGAACTCTCACATGTGAATAGTTACTGTCCTTCAAGGACACTTCCTTTGGTAGCATCCGGCACCTATCCTAAGATGCAGCCCTCTCGCACAGGCCCACTTGAGCTACCTCTTCCATATACCACAAGCCACCCTTACGTTCTAACTTTAAATATGAACAGCCAGCTTGATGGCACCATCCATTCAGCAAGCTGCTTTTGAAAATAACTTTCCCCTTGAAGAAGGAAAATCAGCACGGAAGACACCTCACTGATGTTCCCAGATCTGGCGATGCTTCGTGAAAGCACGCTCCCGTGTGGGCAGCCTCACCGCGAGTGCGAGGGGGGCAGCAGCACCCAGCAGGTGTGCGGTTCTGACTGCGCTTGTTAGAGCCCCCCAGGGGAGCACCGTGCACCTCCCCCGCCTCAGCCACACACCACATGCTTCCTGCTGAGCACAAGCCAGCCACCACTTTCTCAAAGTGACCACAAGTGTCTGGGAAACACATGTAAAAACCAACCTTCATGCATTTTCAAAAAGGCATTCAGCATGTTGTGTATTTCCTGTCATTAGTTTGGTTACTGCTTAATATGTTATAATTCCTTAAAAATAATTTAAGTTGTAGGCCCATTCTCTTGTGCTCTCTGTGAGATTTAAAGTATACTGCATGGCGAGGTGTCTGCCAGGAAATGAGGCAGGGACAGTGAGTGGGAAGTGGGACAGGACGAGTCTTGCACACTGACTCAAATCCCACCTTTACAAGGCCAATCACTTATCCACTTCCAAGGTCTTTATGTCCAAGAAATGAGCATTCACAGCTAACTAGTGTGTTGAGCCCACAGCCTTGCATGGAGCCTGCTCATAGCAGGAACATCTTTCTAAAGAAACAGATCCTAGCACCCTGGGCTGGCTCATGGTGTAAACAGGAAAAGATGATGGAAATAAGATTGCTTGGAGCTTAAAGCCTGGGATGGAAACCAGGAAGCCAGGAGTCAACTCCTCCCGGTCCAGGCCTCATGCCCCAGCATTCTCCTGACACACAAGTTCCACCTGGCCTGGCTGTTCCCTACAGAAGCAGCTTGTGAGGTGCTAAATGTCATAGCTGTGGGGTCCCAGTGCAGCATCATGGCATTTCTGTGCACACGAATCACACATTCCAGGTGTGGAGGATGACACAGCACTTGGGGCACAGCTGTGTTCCCGCACGTCAGGTGGATGTCCTGTTTGCCTGTCTGTGGGCTGCTAACGCCTGACAGCTGTTTACTCTGGCCCAGGCAGGCCCTTCTGGAGATAAAACCCCGGAACAGCAGTGAGTTCAGCCTCTCCCTTCCTTGCCCAGGACAGGTGGTAACAGGTAACTCATGCCCCTCTAATGCCTTCTTCAAACCTCAGGATGCTTCCCTACCCTACCCCCTCCTAAAGTGGAGCTGCAGTCATCTCCACCTTGCTTGACACCTTTTTTCACAGTGAAAAAAAAAAAAAAAAAACCACACACTTCTTAATCCACTCCATTTGGACAAAGCATATGAATGCACATATCTGGAACTCACAGGACACGTTTTAGATGTTAGGATTTTCTGAAGCATGCCTTTGAGACAGGACTGTTCATATTCTGGGGCTTAAGGCTTCTGGCCTGACATGGGAGATGGCTTACCAGCTTTGGTGTTTGCCCAAGGCTAAAGTGTGCCTGGGAAAGGTTGCTATGGTGGCTCTCCCTATAGCTAGGGGAGGCAGCACAAAAGGACAGGCAAGAGGCTGTTTCACAAGGGACCCAACTCTGCTGGCCAAGATGTGCTGAGTGTGAAGTTCAAAGCCTTGCAGGTAGATGCAAGGCAGAAAGGTACACAGGGCCCTTTGGCTCCACAGACAGGCCAGATCCAAGGCTTCAAAATGGCAGTGCTTGGAGACTTTGACAACCACGGACAGTAACAGAATCCGTACATGCTCAGATGAGTACAATCTAACTACTGAAATTCATTGCACTTGCCTAGTGCCTCTGCCACAGCAGGCGATAGCAAGCCGTGGAGGCTGTGGGACCCAGGAGTCCACACAACACTGTTAGGGTGACAACTGCATGTTCTGAAGAGATCATAGGGAGCTGTGAAGAGGCCACCTTGCCTGTGACACAAGTGTCCCCAGCAGCTGTGCCATTTCCAGAAATGCGTACCACTGGACTCTCAGCTCCAGGATGGGGACAGTTCTTTTACTTCTGTGTTCCCTTTCCTTCATCCCACACCAGGATGTTCCACAAGGAGACAAATGAACATATTTCCACAGAGAGAAGTTAGAAGACTTGGAGTGTTGGACAAACCTCTCACAGGACGCACGACACTTGTGCAGTAAGTACAGCGTTGGCATTTCCTTCCCACACACAAGCACTCGGACCCTCTAGCCAGCCAGTCCTTGTTCCTTTACCACAATCCCGAAGCCTAGCTGTGTTTCTGGGGCAGAGGGCAGTCTCAAACAAGTACCAAATGCTGGGTAAGAGAAAATGAGTTACTTCTTCACTGAATAAATAACTTCAGTTGAAAGTTTACACTGAGTTTGTAGATGAGATTCTGTATACAAAGATTAGCCAGTAAATACACTTACCTATGGCTTCATCCGAGCTCCATTTCTCCCTCAGGAGTTCCCTATGGCTTCCCACAGCACTGTTGATGCAAAGAATCTAATGTGCCCATCTGACCCACTCTTTGAACCTCACTCATCTGCACCAACACAGCAGGCTTTCCCTCTAATGCGGACACACCAACTGAGGCCCCAGCTGACACAGCCTTCCTCTTTCCTATCCATTGTAGCCTCTGGTTTCCATGACAGTAGTCAAACTCCCAAGTCCCCAGTGCTGTTCTCACAGATAACAAGTGTCCCACCACTGTTGGTCCAGCTCCCAATTCGCCTATCCGGTCTTACTCTGGGGCAGCTGGGTGCCTCTAAAATCAAATGTAAGCTGTTTTGCCCTGATCCATTTGCTCAAAAAAGTGAGATTTAACTATATAAGGAAAAAAAAAACATTATAAATAAGTGTATCATCTTGACTTAAAAAAACAAAGGGGAGTTGGATGCTGTGCCTCATAAAGGTCAATTCCTCATCTTGGGGGTTGGCTTGGAGACTATAGCATAAGGCAATCTAGAAGCATTAAAATGCTCAACTGCAGTATCTTCAAAACATAGTGGTATGTCCATCCCCAATTGTTGTTCTGCACGAGGTGCTGGGTAGGAGAACAAAAGCCAGCATCTGACCACATGTTAATCACCAACTGCGGTCTGTAGAAATGCCTCGGTGTCTCTTGGGGACAGTTCTGAGACAAATCCAAAAGGAAACCTGCATGCCCAGTTGACTAAAGTGCAAACTAAGGGAACCCTGGGTCCTTGCAATGACACCTAGTGGTCTGCTGTGGCTGATAGCCGTCCCTAAAGTCAGTGCCACGTTGTAATCACTCAGAGACTCACTCAGTACTGGCCCATATCCACATTCACAGTAATGACAAAGGTGCCAAATGAGCAGCCTGTATGTCCATGTCCATCTGGCCCCTTCCACTGTGGTCATGGCCTTCACACTTGTCTTTCTCTTGCCATTTGAGTGTGGCTCTGACCAGGCCCAGAGCAGCCAGCGCCCGGTGCTCGTGCTGGCTTGGTCCTCTGAGCCACAGAGGTGCCAAGGACCTGGCTCAGAGTGGTTGGCCCTTTCTCGTCCGCTCTCAGAAGTAGTCTCTTCTTCTGCTCTCATCGCTAATGAAAGACGGGTTATACTGTCCGGGGAAAATGCAAGAATGCCGGGAGCCGGGCAATCCAGTGTAGGCCGGGTACAGTCCATTGCGTTCAAGTTCAGGATTCCTTACATTTGTGGGCTGGTTGCCAAAGAGAAAAGAAAAGCCAACTGATTATTCTGGGGTTTAAAGTTAAGATGTAAACAGAAATTTTACATGTAAATAAACTTAGGATGGAAGCAGTTATACGAGGGCAGAACAAGTTCTGATCTCAAAGTTAGGACCCTTGCTAGTCTTTCTGTACAGAACCTGGAATACATCTGCTACTGTCTTAAAAGGGAATTAGAAGACATTAATCAAGGGCATTCCAATGATTTTGGACCACATAGGAAAAAAAAAAAAAACCACTTGTGTTTATCCTTACATGATGTGGTTCAACTGATCATTATCTTAAATTCTGTAAAAAAGTTATCTTTCTCTGTGGAGTATAACTGGCTTTAAAACTCCCTGACACTTGGCAGAAGGTGAGCAGCAGATGCTACCAACATGAACTTCACAAGGTCCGACAGCCACTTTGTCACAGGTAGAGCAAGGGCCACAAGCCTCAGGAGGCAATAGTGATGCTTGGGCCAGTTTCACAGGTCACAACTGGCCCCCCGGGTCTGCCACATGAGCTCCCTGGAAATGAAGGCTCTTGGGAGGACCTCCCCTGGTAACATCAGGGTGAGAGGCTTTCTTGGCAGAAATGAGATACTGGATAAAGGTGAATCCTGTGGTGAAAGCCCGGTGTGGTAATCATGGGGACACCCACTGAGTCCACGCTGAGCAACAGCCTGGCACTTGGGTGAGCTTCCTGCCACTACCTCAGGCTCTGCTTCCTCACACTACTCAGCCTGCTGTGCATGAAGACAGAAGGGTTGACTGTGGTCCTTCAATAGTTCTGTCTAAGGCAAGTCTAGTGAATGCGGTGGACATAAGCAGTGAAACAGGGTCCTACCACACCACAGGTCTGGGGCTGGGGGTCCCCCCACAGGCTGCATGGACACACAAGCCTGGGGAAAGCACCAGCATAGTGTAGCTTCATGTATGAGGAGAGAAAAGGGGCTTTTCCTGACAAAAAGCAAAGCCCTATGCAGAAATAGCAAATAAAACATTTTAACTAGAACTAACTTTGAACTTAAATTTTTCTTTTTATTTCTTCTTGTTCTTTCTCCAGGCTCAAATATTTCAAAGAACCCACTGAAGTAAATAACTCTTCGTTAGTACAACAAACCTGCCCTTCCCCCTGGAAGACTGACCCTCCTGGTTAATTCCCATAGCAACCAGAGGATCATGGTCTCTGTCACAAGGCTACTAGAGCCCTAAGCTCCTGGGGCAGTTTCATAGTCACTGCTATCAAAGAGCAGTCATCTGACATCTGTTTATTTTTTGGTTCAGATATCCCTGCCTGTGTTTGTTTTATGACTGGGACAGTGAGGGGGGCTAAAACCTAGCTTAAACTCAATGTGGACAGAAGATGCAGAGGCTCAAGGTATTCTCCTGCCTTCCCTCATCATGCAGTCCAGAGCTAACAGGACAAGGTGCTGAAGACCTGCTGACTGAGTCGTTTTCTTTCTACTTGTTGCCAACACCCAGTTTTGACACCTAATCACAGAAGGCAAAGTAAAGGAGGGCAGACAAGGGCTACAAAATGAAAGGATCAGGGTAACTATCACTAAACGTGGTCTCTACTCTCAGATTTCACTGTAGGAACTTAACAGCAGGTTCACGTGTATCACTAACAACACCCTAGAAGAGTAATGTGCTAACATGGAAATACCTTTCCTATTTCAGTACCAAGACTGCTAAACATTATGCAAATACGTCATAAGGAAACGGAATGTTAGGATATGTAAATCAGAGGCTGTGCCACGGTCCTCCTAGATCTTAACTGCCTGCCATGTTTCTGTCTCAAAGACTGCCCTGCCTCAGATACATACCGAGTAGTACACATCCGTCATCTGCAGGAGGTTTTTGGTGCTTCCATTCTCATGCATTTCAATAGCTTCTCGGCCCCACTCTTGGGAGCGAGGGTTCTTGGGGTACTCAGCATATGGGGACATTTGGAAATCTCCACTTTTAAAGATGAGTTTGCTTATGTCATTTTTATTCTTTCTGCAGAGCAAAAGATATTAAAAGATCCATGAATAATTTCTGTAAAGGAATGGTGTCTGTGAAAATATTAACTGTTGTTTTAGGACTGAAAGAGATCATTATAGTATCCTGTTAGCTGCCCACTGAAGAATGCCATTATGGTTCTTTTTAACATTTACCAAAAAAAGTAAAGATGTAATTAAGTACAAAAAGTCTCCCAACAGGGCTGGTGAGATGGCTCAGTGGTCTAAAGCACCTACTTAGAACAAGCTTAGCAAAGCACAGGGACCACGGTTCAATCCCCCAGCACCACATGCCAGCCAGCCCCGCCCCTGAGCTGGCCACACACACACACACACACACACACACACACACACACATAAATAAATTAAAAAAAAAAATGTCTCCCAACACCAAAGGGCCAGGTTATCAGAGGCAGGAAGGTCAGAGACAGCTGCAGTGGAGCTGTTAGACTCCTCCTGGGTACAGAGGTCACTGTGTCCTAGGGGTAGGTAGGAAAACAAGAATCGAGTCACAAGTGTACATAGTGCAGGATCCAGAAGGGGCTCAGTGACTCCCAACCAGACTGAGTGTCAGATTTTATGTGAGAAAAGTCTAGGATCCCCCAGTTTGCATGAATCAGGAACTCTGGGGACTGACTGAGCAATTCTGGCTCAGCAAACAGACCAAAGTTGTCCCCTGGGTCACTATTTGCTCCCAGCAAATCTTGGAGTAAAAGTCAGGCCTCTCACCCTCCAGCTAGTGCTTTTTCTACTACATGAAGGTACTTCATACATCATAAAAACTTCATACATCATAAAACTGGATGGTCTGTGGATGAAAAAGTTCCCATTTGTCAACTATCCATATTTTCATTTTATGTTGTGAGGTTTCACCATCTAGATACCATTGAGCTATGTGTTCTTCATCTATCCACTGAGTCCAGTATCAGAAATTCTAAGTTATATTTGCTTTGGGCAAGATCATCTGAAGTTTCTTCCATCTTCCTTCTTACCTATAAGTAAATTTTCTAGGGAAGGCACAGACTGTTACAGCGTCATAAAACCAAATTGAGCGCATGGCTTAGGTGTTGGCCCTCTGAGAAAGTTCAGAGCAGAACGGACTTGTCACACTTCTGTGGTGGGTGGGGTCTCCACTCTCAAAAACAATGACTTCCTTGTTCTCAACTCCTTTCCCTTCTCAGTAACTGAAGGTCACAGGCTCCTTCCCAAATGGCTAGTCCCCATGGTACACACAGAACATACTGTGAGTACAAGGCTTCGACCCCTAGAGCTCTCAGTCTTGCCCCTCTATGGTAACTCTTTTTAGTATCATATCCATGAGTTTATTTCAATTCATATGGTTCATCTTTTTTTATGTGTTTAGTACAGAGTCTACAGGGTCTCACTACACAGATCTAACTCGTAGTGATCCTCCTGTTTTCAGCCTCTCAAATGCTGGGATTACAGATGCACACCACCATGCTGTATCAGCACACCCTGGGAGCTGGGCCAGCATGGCACGCTGGGAATTGAACTCCAGTCCAGGTGCCTGCCTAAGCAGGCACTTTAGTTTGCGGAGCTATCTAGCTGGCCCTTTCATATAGTTCATCTTTGATGGCAATTTGGTAAATGACAGGCAATGGTTGTACCATAGGCCTGCATTCCTGAATGGCAGTTATGGCAAATTGTTCTCTGTGACCTTAATGGAGATGGAAGATATCTTAGAATGTTTTTACGTCAATGACAGAAAAGATAGTGTGCTATTTTGGTAGGTTCCCCCTATTATGTCCAGATAATTCTAGCCACTTATTGTATGAATAAGAGGTCATAATTTTTCTTTACTGAAGAGTTAGCCATGCAGAAGGAGGATCAAGTCCCCTGTCCCAGTAGGTTTGTTTGTTTTTGTGGTACCAGGGATGGAACTCAGGACCTTGCACTTGCCAGGCAGTCCCTTATAGTGCTGAGCTACCTCCCCGGGCCCCTGTCCCAGTAGGAATCAGTCCCACTGGCCAAGGTTACTGGTATCCCCACATTGCTGCTCTAACTTCTCCACTGCTACATTTCAGGAAAGCTCTTTCACCTTTATCTTCATCTTTCTGTATAATCTACATACCATTCAATCTACCCATTTCAACTGTTTTAGCATATTCATAGATGTCTGTCAATGAAACACAGCCAGCTTTAGAACAGTTTCACCATCCCCAAAAGAAACCTCATACTTTTTACAATCTCTTCCCAGTGCCTCCTCCCTTCCCCGCCCCTCCCCTATCCCCAGACAGCCATAATCTACTTCCCATCACTTTTAGACTTGCCTATTTTAGGCGACTCAGGTAAATGGAGGCATACTCAGTGGTCTTCTGTGACTGGCTTATTCCACTTAGTGTAATATTTTCCAGGTTCATGTCTGTGTCAGTTCTTCACTCCTTTTTTATCACTGAATAACATTCCATCATGTAGCTATATCACATTTTTTGTTTATAAATTCAACAAGTTGACATATAGGAGGATTTTTGAAATATATATATATATACATATATATACATATATATATATATAAATTTTTGTGTGGATACAGTACAGTATGTTTTCATTTATCTTGGGCACATACTTAGGACTGGAAGGGCAACATTTAACTATCTGACTTTTTCAAAGTGGCATCACCATTTTATATTCCTACTATCTGTGTGTAAGTGTTCTAATTTTTCAACATCCTCACCTCAAGTACTCTTTTGTTGAGACAGTGTCTCACTATGTAGTCTAGGCAGGCTTTGAGTTCATTACGTAGCCCAGGCTGGCCTTGAACTCTCAGTAATCCTCCTGCTCAACCTCCTGAGTGCTGGGATTATAGGTGTGCATCACCACCGCCAGCCCAAGTACTCTCCAGATGAATAAAAACTGACCCTTGTATAGCACAAGCAAAGACACAGAATTAGAATTTAAACCCTTATTACTAGGACCAGGGAGATAGTTCAGTGGTCTAAGCACCTGTCTGGCAAGTGCAAGGACCTGGGTTTGATCCCTGGTACTGCATGCTGTGCTGGCTTTGGGCCGAGCTGGCCACCAAAACCAGGTATGGTGGTGCACACCTGTAATCCCAGCCCTGCAGAGGCTGAGACAGGAGTACTACTATGAGTCTGAGCTGCATAGCAGGACCCTGTGCCAATTAATTAATTAATTAATTAATTAAAAAATTAAACTCTCATCACTTACCTGCAACAAGTGACAATCAGAGCAATGCCCAGGATAAGGAGAAGCCCACCTCCTGCTGCCGCAATGACCACAGTGATAAGCTGATAGGCTAAAGAAATTACACAAACAAGAGTGAGAGTTAGTGGGAGCTAATGAACGCACAGTGGACTGTCCTCTCTGGACCCACTGCAACCACCCTTTGGTCTTTGACAAGGGACTCACCAGCTTTCTCTACATTCTCTCTATATTGAGAAGTATTTCCCCAGTGACCCCTAAATTCTACCTGCATTCACGCCCTTGCGGACATTTTCACCAATCCATGATAAAGAGAGAAAAATAAAAGTGACTAATGAATTTTCTAATTAACTAATTAATTTGTTTCATTTTAATAGCAGTTTTGTAATGGAAAATTTTATCCTTATATTTTTCCTCTAACTTAAGATTTTTTTTTTTAATCATGTGCAAACTGTGCTTTAAGATATTGGATCTTCTTTTCTTTTTTTTTTAAGTAAGAGAAAACACAGCGTCTTTCCTTGGTCACTTATTACTCCTCGGTATTAACTGTTGCTTAATTTTTTGACTTGACAAGAGCAGATATAAAAATGCCAGATCTTACTTATAAAATAAGACGGTGGCAACTCTAAAGTAGATTCCTGGGGCCAAGGATATAGCTCAGTAACACAAGTGCCTGCCTGGCAAGCACAAAGTCCTGAGTTCGAGTCTCAGTACCCTCCAAAAAATAGAGTTTATAAGAAACGTTGTTGGTCAGTTACGTTCAGGATCCAGGAATCACTACTCAGCCATGTTAGAGACTGAGCAGGCTCCTCAATAATAATACTTTGAATTTAACTACAAAAAGAAGCAACGGTATGAGCAAGCACCTATCATATTTCATAAATAATACTAGAAGATTTTAATTAACTGGATTTTATACCTATTCTGGCAAAATTATTTTCAATAAACTCTACTAAATACTTACAATGATGTTCTGCTGTGGAAACAACAAAAATTATGTTCCTAGCTCAGAAGATCTAGGACAAAGGGCTACTAGCCAGATTTTCTTTTTCTTTTTTTGTATTTTTTAGTAGGGGTCTATAGAGTCAACAGGGTCTCACTATGCAGATCAGACTCATAGTGATCCACCTGTGTTCAGCTTCCCAAAGAGCTGGGATTATACGTGCGCACCAACCACGCCCAGCCTCAATCACTGGCTCAGGGCACCCCGGGGGTGGGGGCTGTACCACAGGTTGGGATTGAACCCTGGCTGCTGTGTCTGCTGAAGCAGGCACTTTAATTCACTGAGCTATTTGGCTGGCCCCAGATTTTCTACAGTAAATGTGCCTAGACCTGCTCTCTAGGCACCAGGGTGTTGTCCAAGGGTAAGGACAGAGCTCACGCTTTACCCTCAGTGGCCAAGTCCCCTTTTCCCAAAGCTTCCAATGACCAAGTGTGGTTTGGCAGGGAGCACTGTGAGCAGAATATGGGCCAAGGCAAGCTATGTAACCTTTTACCTAGCTTTATAGCACAGAAGCTGTAGGACTGTGAAAAACCACTAGTATTGCTACGTATAGAGAGAGAACAACACCAACACATGGAATAAATCATCTCTCTCCTCCTGGCATATGTATTCAGAAGATTCAACAAAAGTGAAGAAAAAAGACAAACTACTTGAACATATCTACCCCCACCCAACTACTGTCATCTCTTGTCTGGACAATGGCAACTGCCTCCCAACTCAACTGCCTGCACCCAGTCTTACCCACTCATCACTAAAATAAAATATGATCACGGCACTTCCCTGCTAAGAAAAATCCTCAGTGGCACCTTCTGTTTCTAGATAAAGGTCAAAATTGAGCTCCATTTTCTCTCCTCACTTCTAGCAAAATGAGCAAACATCTATTTTAAAAATGATGCTGGCGGGGCTGGTGAGATGGCTCAGTGGTCTAAAGCACCTACTTAGAACAAGCTTAGCAAAGCACAGGGACCACGGTTCAATCCCCCAGCACCACATGCCAGCCAGCCCCACCCCCTGCTGGGCTGAGCTGGCCACACACGGCCACACATGTGCACACACCCACACCCACACACACACATAAATAAATAAAAATAAAAATAAAAAAATGATGCTGGCAAGTGGCTGCAGCTTACCAGGTTCCTCTTTGCAACAAACACTTTTGTCTAAAAAGATACACAGCAGAGACTACTACTCCCCAAACTGCCTGTGGTCAAGGACCACCAGTTTTTGTTTGTTTTGGGTATCTTTTTACATAAAGAAAATAAAGTCCCATTTCTTCCTCTTATTTACATTGGTACAAACTATCATGGATTTCCTTTTCTCCTTTTGGAAGATCCAAACCCACACGTGTATTTGTACTAGCGTAGTCTGTGCTTTTCAAATTTCCCATCTGAATCACCCAAATGTCTTGCTAACACCAATTACAGAGCTTGCACCCCTGGAGCTTTGATTTAGTGGGTCTGAGTAAGGACTTAGAGGTTGGTTTCCAGCAAGTTTCCAGAGGATGACGATGTTGGGGACCTACCATTCAGGTTCACTCAAGCGTGCACTGATACATGGAGGGAAGACTCCTGGGATGAAAGCCAGGGGCCCTCCCAGCACCGAAGGCTGGGAGAGGACTCATTGGAATGTTCATTGGAGTTAGGCTTTCCTGTATTGCCCACATTTTACTTAGTTACACATACACACACAGGCGTGTGCACAGACGTACACTCATTTTGGCACTTTGTATAAATATACACACATGTATTTTAAAGGAGTAATTTGATATTTTGTGGCAGTCACATCACTAGAAATCTTCAGTATGTGCACAGACAGCATCACCCATGCATCTTTTCAGCTTTAGTATTGACTTTAGCTTTGGTATACTGTATAAATCAATGCCGAGTGTGATGGGTATTAGCTTCACAGGTGCTCTGAATGTTGAAAATGGGGCAGACCAAGCAGTAATCATTTTCAATTTATCTGTCCTATCCTTTCTGATCTGAAAAGATCATCCAGAATGAAGAACTTGGGATTCTCAGTCCTACTTCCTCTGTGACATTTGTTGACAGTTCAGTGTTTCTCAAGCCAGGACCCTTTCATCTTCACAGCTTGACGCTGTTAATCGTGGTTAGTATTTTCCATCAGACCAACCTACCCTGGGCCTTAGCCCTTCCTATAGACTGTTTATCTTTGCTTCTGTTTGGATGGAATTTACCGAACTGACTGCTTAGCCAACGTGCTTTGGGGAACCAGTTGCATCCTCCGAAGGGTGGGCATGCTTGTACATGTAACAGTGTCCCTGGCCACAGCTGATCAGCCTGGGGACAAACACACATCCGAACTGGATCAACCAGTTCCTTCCCAGGAACCCCAAGTAGGGGAGAAACTGAACCCTTTCTTTCAAAACAGCTGAACAAGTGACATTCAAGAGCTATTTGGCAACTCTTACTTTCCATCAAGTTGTGTGGAAGGACAGATGGCCAGGCACAAAGCAAAGGCTAGAGGGTGGATATGAAGGTGAAATTACACTATGACATCCCTGAAAAGAAAGCCCTGGCACTGCACTTCCCGAGCTCATTAGTAAGTGCGGTTAACTTTGCTTTTTATTTATTTATTTAAAGTTTTAAAAATATTTATTTATTTATGTATTCTATGCAGGTCAAAAAATAGTGATCCTCCTGTCTTATAGTGATCCTCCTATCTTATTCTCCCCAGCCCTGGGATTACAGGCTTGCACCACCATGCCTGGTTTTGGGGCTGGCCTGGTGTGCCCAGGGTTCTGGGGCCTGCATGGCCATGTGGTACCAGGGATTGAAGCCAGGAGGTAAATTTCTCATTCCCTCACCTATGTTTTGTTTGTTTGTTTTGAGACAGGTTTCACTGTGTAGCCCAAGCTGGCCTTGAACTCAAGAGTTAACCTCCTGCCTTCGCCTCTAGAGTGGTGGGGTTACAGTCACGTACTAACACACCAGGCATTGCCCATCTCTGTTTACAGCCTTCTTTTTTTTCTTGGAACTTTCTAAAATTTGCCATTTTAAATCTACAGGCTGTGTGGGTACGCCCAGTGCTCACTGGCCCCACAATAAAAGTTCCATGTGATTCTGTCACTTTTCCTGAAGTTTTAGCCCTTCCACCTCATCAACCAGTCCTTCCTAGGGGTAAGATCAGGCCCAGAAGCACCTGCCCCTCAGGAGCCATACTTCCCTTCCATTCTGACATGAAAGGGGGTCAGCTGAAACTGAAGAAGATGACCACTTTTAGCCGGGTGAGACTTCCAGTGGGATTCTGCGTAATTAATGGTCTCTCCTTCCTCCAAGGCAGTTTAGTGCTATTCTCCAGGATGTTTGTTTAAAGTGACTCCTGCCAACACACAGCATTTCCTCTGATCTGAATCTTTTTATAGCCTCATGCATTGACAGGTCAAACATAATTAAAAGATATTTTATACATCTGCCACCCAACTGTGGGTCAGGTTGGGAAAGTGTATAATGGCTGTAAGTGGAATGTTCTGGTTTCTCTGGAATGGGACCATTAAATGGGGAAAACCGGCTCTACATCCTTGCTGGCCATGCTGAAGGGCTGGTGGGGATGGTGTCTCCACTGAAGAAATCTAGTCTTTGGAAGGCAAGGATGGCCTTAGAAAAGACATGAGGCAAATAGGAAAGAAGAGTGCACAAAAATGTCTGTGGCTACAAAAAAAAAATAATCTGGGAAAATTATATGGGTTCTCTAATTATAAAGTGACAATAAACATAAAACAGACACATGGCTTCAAGGATGGGCATATAAAAAGGATTCATAAAAGGTAATTAGAGGGGAACAGTTTCATAAATTATAGCACAGGACATTACAGAACTATCAAAAGTGATTCTGTACAATTATGGAAATGAAAACATTCTGCATCTTACTAGGTTTAAAAACAGATCACAAAATAGCATATTCAGTGAGATCCAATTTCTTTAAAAAGACACACACACACACACACACACACACACACACTGGTTAAGTTGGATAATAGCAGGCTTTTCAAACTGTAAAACACATGCAGTTCTGCACTAACCAAATCCCTGGGTCTATTAAAATTCAAACTGTGACTCAGCGGGTCTGTG